TGCAATCATTTGTTTCATTGTTACAAATAATTGCTATGTATATTACGATTTAAATATCAATGCCTAAAAAGAATTTAATAGTAACACGACACAATTCACGTCCAGTTAAAAAATCAAAAAAGGTGCACTTTTTTTTAATTTATTTGAGATAACAGATTTTACCATAACTTTCCGTAACAACATTCGATCTTAAACTGTTTAGTACTTTAAAACATGTAGAAAAACTACGAAAAGATTGTCGCCGCTGTGGGAATCGAACCCACGTCTTCGGCATTGGTGGCCTGACGCTCTAGCCACTGAGCTAAACGGCTGATAGCCACAGCGACGAAAATCTTAACGCCTTCTTTCTACATTGTTATTTAGCATTTGAAGCAATGCTTGGCTCATCTATTGTTATATCCTTTCCAGCTTACAAACAATTTCGAATATCGTTTTACAACGATAATTCGAAAGATTGATGTCGCCATTGCTTTTTATAAATTTTAAACTGTTTAGTACTGTCAATTTTAATAGGATCTGTTTTATCAAGGACATAAACATAAAACAAAATAAGATTGAGAATAGGTTCAGGTAACAATTTTATCTATATTCTTTGCAAGCTCTTTCCAACAAATAACTTGTTAATAATATTATTACATGATTTATTTGATGACATGGAATTGGTTATTAACTGTGTTAATGATTCTTTTTGTTTAGTTTAATAAAATATTAACGTTGTGAAATTGTGTGAATTGTGAAAGAACTTAAAAAGAGGTACAGAGATAGGATAACTTGAGCAAAGTTACGAGTTATGATGCTTATTATAAACGGCCTTTTGGGTCTCAAATATGTAATAAATTGGCTTAAATTGCTTTAAGTCGATCTATTTTCTTTACGGAAATTGAAAGATTTTAATCACTCAGAGTATTGTTTTATTTGCTTCAAATGAAAGTTCTTCTGATCAACATAATCTTTAATCCTATTTAAACATTTATTTAACAATATCCTTATGATTTGAATATAGCTTTTTGCAATTAGCTGAATAGATTACATAATACGAGGCCGAAGATATATTTTGAACCTAAAATTAGCTTATAGATTTTAAAATATATACACACTGCCTATAATAAAAAACTTTAAAGCATAATACCTATATGACATTATCCGTTAAATATTGCCTTATGTAAGTTGAGTTACATCATATTGATCCGCCAGATCCGCCTACCTGGCCTATTTTCCAATCGAAAAGGCGACGTCAGTTGGATACCTACATTATGTGTATTCTTCAATCTCTTCAAATAAAAAAAAACTACCCCGTTTTATAACCCCAAGTGTAGACAGAGAGATACTATTAATCTACAACCTAACGAAAAGTAGCCCTGGTATCGCTGGTAACTTTTAATACAAAGTCTGGCAAAAACTTGCAAAATAGATGTAGTATTTGTTCACTAAAATAAAAAGAAAATTAAATTTAAGTTATAATCATCATTATCAGCCGTAAGACGTCCACTGTTGAATATAGGCATTCCTCTTAGAACGCCCCAATGTACGCCACTTTGCTATTTGCATCCACCGGTTGCCCGCGACTCTTACGATGTCGTCGGTCCACCTAGAGGGAGGCTTTCCAACGCTACGTCTTCCGGTTCGTGGTCGCCACTCGAGAACTTTTGCCACTTCATATTGCAAATCCAGAAAGCTATGTCGTCGACTTATTTGCAGAAAAGCTTAACTTAAATAAAGTTAAGCTTTTCTGCAAATACATTTAAAGCTGACAATTATCATGCAGATAACAGTAATGTCAGTCAATCAGATAAATGTCAGAACAGAGTTAGTCAGCCCCAACATATGTATGTACAATAAATAAATGACGAGTAATTTATTTATTAAATTTGAAAATGTTTAAATAATTTTTTTTTCAGTAACCGGCCCTAACTATCATAATTCTTCATCAAATTTATTATTTTTTTTCAAAAATAACACATGTTTAAAAATTTCATACGAAAAATTAATGATAATGCCATCTATTGACAATTTGTTGAAATAGACAATAATGACTCCGTAGCGTAGTAGCCAAGGTATCGGCTTCGGCGTCGGGGGTCGTGGGTTTGATTCCCACACGGGACAACTATTTGTGTTATCCACAGATAGTTGTTTAGCATCTGGGTGTTTGTCCGCGCGTGAAATTTATGTCTGTAAAACGTCCTTACACCACAGGATAAGTTTATCCTACAGTAGGGGCAATGTTTAAAAAAAAGAAAAAAGGTAGACTATATAAACGTATTCATAAAATAAGATACCTTTTATTGATACTTACACATTTTTATGTTACCATGATATCCGTGCCAGCTCATTGTTTAGGCGCTCCTTTTAATTAAATACTCGATCAAATTAAGTTCGATCACCGATGCCGGCACCAAAGAAATTGATAATTTAGAATGCTTATTTTCGAAATAATAAATAAAATCGAAGATATGTGAAATCCGCCAATCCGCAGTGGGGTCGCGTGGTGGACTATTTCCTAATACCCTTTGTACAGAGGAGGTCGTGGTGAGAGCTGATTATGATCTTCGGTTCTTATAGTTACCTATGTTTCTATGTACTCAAAATACAACACTTGTAAATATTGTTATCAATAGACCAATGTGCCCAATGTTGATTCCATCTCAATCTTCAACCCTTAATTAATAGAATTCCAAAATCAGTCTTAGGAGAGAGATGAAAAAATTCTAATCGAATACTGAGAATATATCTTTTTGAATATATTTCAAATTGCCATTATTATTTTACTTTATAAATCGTCTGGAAAAATTCTTGATTTTTTTTACCTCGCAATGTCCATCACTCCATGTCGAATTCTTGGAGTTGAATCACAGGTTTATGAAAATAGATTTGCATCATCAAACTTTATAATTTGAATCTGAAGACGTGATAGCTTTGGTTACAATGTTACAATGTATTTATTCTTCAGTACAAATAAAAATTATATTATAGCTTAAAAATCATAAACAATACTACAAACGAAACAAATGAAACAAATGTTGACTTCAAAATTTTCGTCCGGACACTTTGGTCAATAATGATGAATTAAGAAAGTGATCTTTGAAGCTGATAATCTATAGCCGAGCTATCAACAGCTTGATGTTAACATCAAGACAAAATTGGTCCATTTGAGACAAAGTGGCAAAGTAAAAAAGCTCGATAGATAGGTACCCCACGAACATAACGATCGCCAGTGCAACGTATGAGCTCGTGCTTGATGTTCGAGACCTGCTACTCAACAGTTGCAATTGTAAGAATTTTGAACCGAATTGTTAGGTACGTGCGACGAAAGCTGGATTCTGTTAGAGAATCGAAAGCGCTCAGCAAGTTGGTCAGGCCCTGGTCACTGTTTGGTGGTTTAGTGCCGCTGTGATTCATCACATCTTTTCAAACGACATGAGCATTACTACAGATGTCTACTGTGAAGAACTGAAGACAATGATAGAGAAGCTCGCAAATCTGCAACCAGCTTAGGTCAATCGGTCGCCCTGCTCCTTCACAAAGTCGCGCGAAATCATACAGCACAACAAAAAGTCTCCCAGCCGCAAGAGTTTGGGTTGGAAGCTCTCCCTCAACCGTTATACTTACCTGACCTTGCACCTACCGACGTAGGTAATGACTTTTTGCAAAATTTGGACAAATTTTCCGGGAAAAAATATTCAATTCCCGAAAGGCAGCACAAAATGCTTTTAAAGTTTGTTACCTTCTGTCCAGCTGATTTCTACAAGAAGGGCATTAATAAGCTACCATTGCGTTTGCAAAGAGGCATCGATTGTATGGGTTTTTTTTTAAGTTTGACAAAAAAATACCTTAACTTATATTATACAAAACGACAATTTCAAAGATGAAGACGTAAATTATAGAAGATATTCTCAATATTCTCCTTTGCGAAATTACTTTAAAGATAAGTTATCACATGTTGATAGAGCCATCAAATAATCAAAATAAATAAAATTTAACAAATGAATCCTCAACAATAGCAAATTTTCATACCAAAAACATATGGAAGTTTTTTTTTATTATTTAAAAATAAAAAACGAGCTCGGAGTTCTCCTATAATAAAGTTACTACAAACTCCAATCGTTTTTACACTCGCGAAGCGACAAACTGAACAATAATTGTGCCCATTGTCTGTCTATTCGACAAACCCGATGCGTTTTTACTATTTAAATACCATGTAGGACTATTTTGTAAAAAAAACCCATATCAATTAAAAATTTATTACCAAATCTATGAATTCATTTTAAACTAATGAATTATGAAACCAATACATTTGATGTAATCATTTTTCAGGATATTTTTTAAAACTAACAGCATTAATTTAAGCTAGACATAAAAACAATTCGATGAAGAAATCGAAACTTAAAATTCAGATTTGTGACTTACGGTAGGTCACATCAATATTCCCCCCGTCGTGCTGCCACCTTGTTGTGGTGGAGGGGCTTGCGTGTCCTAATGACCTCCAAGGCTATGCCGGATAGGGTCTCCCATACCGGACAGGCTCGGAGCGAGGGACCAGACGAAGAGCAGCACAAGGAGGGGCTCTCCGTGTGATTCTCTCATCAGCAGAGAACACATCGAATAGGGCCTAGGAGGACGGGTCGGCGCGCTGACTAATCTCAGTGCGTCTGACGCCACCGTCGGAGGAGATTTCGCCAACTCCTCGTTCCGCAACCAGCGACTCACTTCAACGACCCTTCTGGTGGCTCCAGTTGGAGATGTTGTGTGGGTATTTGTGTGTGTGTATGTGTATGTGTTTGGGTGTGTATATGTGTGAGTGCTTCTGTGTCGCTGGTCGGAGGGCTTGCCTTAATTGGCCGGCCCGCGGGAAGGAAAACCCTATAAAGCCCGAGAGAACCCTCGTTAAAACCTGTGGATATCTGGGGACCTCCACAGTATGTACCCCACTCCACTTTTTAGTCGACCGGAATGGGCGTAACCCGGGGAGTGCATCTATATCGTCCCAACTCGTGGGAATAAAAATGGAAAAGAAGAAAAATCTAAAAGGAAATGACGTTCTTAAGGAGTTAGGCGTACAGCTCGAACGCTGTGATACCCAAAGAAAGGAGGATGGCCCTTTGACATCAACCACAGTAGGGAGTTTAGAGGAGGTAGGCGGTATATCCGCGTCAGATTCTGGCTCTGAAATGAGCCTGGAATTGGAAAAAAGCGTAGCTAGCAACGCTAGCTTCGCCAGTATGGGTAGCGGAGAGGCCCAGAGAGTGCGCAAGAAGCGCACTCGCGCCTCGGATGCAGACGCCGAAGCAGATGATCATCCGGAATCTTCGGCGTTCAAAAGGAGAGGCACCCCTGTGCCTAAAAGGGGTAGAGGCCGCCCGCCCAATAGTGGGCAGTATTTGGAGCTGGCGAAAGGGAAGCGGGAGCTCATGGAAGCCAGGAGGGTAGAGATGGAGCTCCAGGCGGAGAAGGAGGTTCCAGAGCTGATCCAAAGGCGCCGGCTCGATAGAGCATTGCGCCCCGCTGGTTTTGACGACGTAGTCGACTCTCGCCTTTCTTCGACCCTGCTTGAGAGGGTCGATGATGGCATTAAAGTCATCACCAAAGTCGCTACGAAATCAAAGAACCTGAAGGGCACTTTTGTAAAAGCCCTTAAGGAAGCGGCTGAGATGATCCGGGAGGCGGTGAATGGTCTACAGAGCATATCATCGACTGATGAAACCCGCCGCCTTCAGGCCGACAACAAACGGCTGCGGGACGAGGTGGCGACGCTCCAAAAGGAGGTTGCTAGCATGCGTCTCAGTATAGAGAAGGCGGCTCGCCCAGCCCAGGAACGGACGCCGGCACCAACACTGCAGGCTGAGCATATCGCGCGTGATGTACTATCCCAAGTAGGGACGATGATCAGCGCGCGATTCGAGGCTCTCGAGGAGCGCTTGCTCCCGGAGAAGCGCCTGAGGCCGCCTTTGGCTGCGGATAGGCGTAGCGCCGAACCTGGGCCTTCATCGGCACCAGATCCCACCCCTACCTCTCTGGGAGAGACGTGGAGTGCAGTGGTACGGAAGGGAAAGGGGAAGGGAAAGAAGACAGCGCCCGCGCTTGACGTGCAGATGTCGGCTTCCATCTCCGCCAAGCCAAAGAAGTCTGTGGCTAAGCCCGTCGCGACGCCTAAGCCACCTACGGCCGCCGTGAAATCTATTACGGTGCCGAGGCCCCCATTGGTCGCAACGGGATCCGCTGCGGTGCCCAAGTCCGGTACGGCATCAAGACCCGCTGTGGCCACTGCGACGCCAGCCGCCGCTAATAAAAAGAAGCGGAGGCGTAGAGCCCGCAAACTACGTGCCCCTACGACGGCAGCTGTAGTAATCACACTACAGCACGATGCCGTCGAAAAGGGGGTTACGTATAGTGATGTTCTCACCAAAGCCCGTCAGAGGTTAGATCTGACGGCCTTGAACATCCCGGCAGGCCTGAAAATAAGGCAGGCGGCCACGGGAGCTCGAGTTCTCGAGCTTCCAGCAGGGGTCACGAGCGAAGCAGCGGACAGTTTCGCCGCGAAGCTCCGTGAGGTCCTCGCCGGAGAAGCACGGATCGCCAGGCCGGTGAAGTGCGCGGATTTGCGTCTTACTGGCCTGGATGATTCCGTCACCAGGGATGAGGTGCTCGCTGCGATTGTCGCTGCAGCCGCCTGTCCCCTTGACCACGTCAAGGCGGGCGAAATTCGGGAGGGCCGCCGGGGCACTGGCTGCATCTGGGTGCAATGTCCAGTGGCAGCTGCTAAGGTCCTGGTGTCAGCTCGGAGTATGAGGATTGGCTGGAGCTATGTGCACGTCGAGTCCCTGGAGCCGCGCCCTATGAAGTGCTTCCGATGCCTAGAAATCGGGCACACGCGACTCCAGTGCACTTCGGAGGTGGACCGCAGCGATATTTGTTATCGCTGTAGTGCTCCTGGACACAAAGCAGCGGCATGCTTAGCCAAACCCCACTGCGCAGTATGCGCAGTTGCAGGTAGGCCAGCTGAGCACTCGGTGGGGGCTAAGGGTTGCTCCCCACCGAAAAAAGGGAAAAAAAGCCGGCAGGACCCCGGCATCCCAGCAGGTGGATCGGGATTCGTCCCGACAAGAGGAAATGTGTGTCGACTCTAATAATGGATAGGGATAGACATTTCCTCCAGATAAACCTAAACCATTGCGCCGGTGCCCAGGATCTATTATTCCAGGCACTGGCGCAATGGCAAATTGGACTGGCGGTGGTAGCGGAGCCTTATTGCATACCCGCCAACTGGATAGGGGATGCTACGGGCACGGCGGCCATCTATGTTCCAGATGGTACCACGCCCATTTCCGTCAAAGAGAGGGGAAATGGTTTTGTGGCGGCCGACTGGGGGAAATACACAATATTCTCGGTGTATTTTTCCCCAAACAAAACCCCTCGCTGAACTCGAGACGCTCCTCGGTGATATGCAGGCGGCCATTAGGCGAGTTGCACCTCGACCGGTAATTGTGGCGGGCGACTTTAATGCCAAGAATACGGCTTGGGGATCGCCTGCCACAGACGTGCGGGGGATTGCGGTTGAAGACTGGGCCACGGAATCTGGGTTGGCACTTCTCAACTGCGGCACATCACAAACCTGTGTTCGGGTCCAAGGGGGGTCCATTGTAGACCTTTCCTTTGCGAGCCCGGCGGTTGCTCAGGCAGTACGAGATTGGCGAGTTATGGGGGAGGTGGAGACGCTGTCGGATCACTTATATATCCGCTTCAGCGTCTCCTCCTCCAGAGGGATGCAGTTGGTCCCCGCCTTCCCTGCGATGGCCTCAACGTTTCCGCGATGGGCCCTCGCGGGGTTGGACGTTGACCTGCTGAAGGAGGCCGCCATCGTCGAGTCCTGGAGCTCCCCGCCTCCGGGGACGACGGACGAGGAGGCGATGTGTTTCCGCAGCGCGATCACCAGGGTCTGCGATGCCTGCATGGTCCGCGTGCGGCAAAGACCTCAAAAGAGGCAGGTGTACTGGTGGTCACCTGACATTGCGGATCTTCGGCGACGCTGTGTCGCCGCCCGCCGGAAGTTCCAACGACAGCGGCGGCGGCGGCCGCGGAATGAGGAACTGAATGACCATCTGCAGAGGGCGTATCACGACGCCAAAAAATCCTTGCAGCTGGCCATCCTGAGGGCCAAAGACACTGCCTGGGGTGAGCTCCTCGCGGGCTTGGACCGCGATCCCTGGGGTCGTCCATACCGAGCAACCAGGGGCAAGCTTGGTCGGGGTCCGCCGCCTGCTGAATCTATTTCACCGGAACGGCTGGCCACGGTGCTGGAGGCGTTGTTCCCGGCCCCAACTGGCGTTATCCCACCGGTGCCTGAGCCGGAAACCACCGAGGAGGTGCCTCTGGTATCCGAGGGTGAGATGGGAGCCGCACTTCTGCTGCGGCTCGTGGGCGCAAAACGGCCCCTGGCCCCGATGGTGTGCCCGGCAGGGCTCTGGTCTTGGCCTTGGGGCCCCTAGAGGAACGCTTGAGGGAGCTTTTCACCGCTTGTCTTCGGCGTGGAGAGTTCCCGCAGTGTTGGAAGGCGGGCAGGGTTGTTCTCCTTCGTAAGGAGGGACGCCCTGAAGAATCGCCCTCGGCTTACCGGCCAATCATCCTGTTGGACGAGGCCGGTAAGCTGTTGGAGAGGGTGGTCGCCTCGCGCATCATACGTCATATGATGCGCGAGGGTCCTGACCTGTCCGACGTCCAATACGGGTTCCGACCATCGCGCTCCACAATAGACGCCATATTGTGTGTCAAGGGGTATGCGGAGGAGCAGGCGGCAAACGGCAACGTGGTGTTGGCGGTGTCTCTTGACATCGCAAACGCATTCAATACCCTGCCGTTCGCTACCATCGAGGAGGGCCTCCGATACCACCGACTCCCCCGGTACCTGCGTGCATTTATTGTGGCGTACCTACGGGGAAGGAGCGTTGTGTGTGTAGGGCGCGATGGCGTCCTCGTACAGAGGGAAACGTGGTGCGGTGTTCCACAGGGATCGGTCCTTGGCCCACTCCTGTGGAACATCGGCTACGACAGGGTACTCCGTGGTGCCTTGCTGCGCGGGCTTCGTGTTGTCTGCTATGCTGACGACACACTCGTTCTTGCCCGCGGCGCGACGCATCAGGAGGCGACCCAGCTGGCGGTGGTCGGTGTGGGACTAGTGGTGTCCCGCATCAGAGCTCAAGGCCTACGGGTGGCCCTTGAGAAAACCAAGGCCCTATTTTTCCATGGACCTAGAAGGAGGCTGGCTGCAGGCACACCACTCCGGATCGGAGAAGTGGAGGTCCGGGTCAAGTCCGAGATGAAGTATCTCGGACTCGTCCTAGACGGACGGTGGACGTTCGCCGCTCACTTTCGCCGGCTGACACCGAATCTGTTAAAGGCATCCGCTGCTCTTGGACGCCTCTTGCCTAATGTGGGGGGACCAGGGTCGGTCTGCCGCCGCCTGTACATGGGGGTCATCAGATCGATGGCCCTCTACGGAGCTCCTGTGTGGGTGGATGCCTTGAGTGCCACGAATAGAGCGTTGCTGCGACGACCGCAGCGCGCCATGGCACTCAGGGCTATACGCGGCTACCGCACAGTGGCCGGCGAGGCGGCGTGTGCTTTGGCGGGATCCCCACCATGGGACTTAGAGGCTAAAGTCCTCGCGGAGGTATATCGCCGAGTCGCTGAGGCGAAGGGGTGCGGCGATAACGTTTCCACCGAACGAATCGCAAGGTGGCGACGCCAGGCGCGCATCATTTTGATGCGCACCTGGCAGGAACGTTTGGCGGCTCCCACTGCCGGACATAGAGTGGCACAGGCCATTAGGCCTGTCCTGGAGAAGTGGATCGGTTCCCGAAATGGCAGTTTGTCATTCCGGATGGTGCAGGTGATGACTGGGCATGGATGCTTCGGTCATTACCTGCACGCTATCGGGAGGGAACCGAGCCAAAGGTGCCACCATTGTGCCTGCGCCGACGATACGGCGCAGCACACGATGACGGAATGCCCGGCGTGGGAGGAGCCGCGAGGGCGGCTCCGTGACGTCGTCGGGTCGGATCTCTCGCTGCCGGCCATCTTTAGAACAATGGTCGACAGCAGGGCGGCGTGGAGGGCGATGGCCTCCTTCTGCGAGACAGTCGTTTTACAGAAGGAGGCCGCCGAAAGGGAGAGGGAGGAGAATGCTTCTTCCGACCCGATCCGGCGACGTCGCATGGGGAGAAGGCGGGCGGCACACGAGCGCCGTCTCCCGCCCTAATGGGCCTCCGGGTGACAGACTTGGGGACGTCTGTCACCTAACGGTATGAGGCCCCGCGAAGACTAAGTGCCCACTGGTGTCATGGGCACTCATGCGGAGAACGGGGACAAAAGTCCCTTCGTGGTGTGCCCCAGCCCTGTGCAGGGTCGGGGTAGCCGTGGCTGGGTTGCAGCAGAATCGCTTAAGCGGGCCCTGCAATCCAGCATTTGACGGCAGAGGAGGACACCCGATGGGTTTTAGTTGGTAGGTCTGCCCTTCTCAGAGCGGGAGTCCAACATAACTCTCCTTGCTTCCCCTAAGGAGAGTATGCATGATGCATTTCCCATCGTTAAAAAAAAAAAAAAAAAAAAAAAAAAAAAAAAAAAAAAAAAAGGTCACATCAATATTGAGGAGGTCCCATTTAGTTAGCGACCCAAATTAGAATTCTAGAAATGTGATCAGAATTTGTCACGAAATGGTCGTAAATGGTCAGTTATTTTTAGCGATTGATCAAAATTTTGACACTAACTACAGAGAGTTTAAAATTCAAAGTACACGGGGAAAACTTTGACGGCTCAAATGAATCCTAGAGATCAAAACTAAAGTTATTTCAATTGGTGACAATAGTAATTTTGATAAATGGTTAATGCTTCAGCGGTGGTAGGGCCACGCATCTATCTTCGCTTCTTACGAATGGGCAGGTTCGTACAAGTAAGTTCCACAACCTCACAGAACCCTAACCAATACCATAATCGTAACAATAACTTGCACAGTTATACTTCTGCATTTAGCCTAATGAATGGGTAGCCGGGGCTCAGTTTATTAAAAGGTAGCAATGGCGCTTATCACTTAACATCAGGTGAACCACCAGCTCATATTAATAGTTAAATCACAAAAACTTTACTTAGATTCTAACTTGACTCAGATCGTAAGAAAGGAATAATCAGGGTGTATTCCTTATCCTTTATAGCTGATAGAAAATTGATTACGCATATTAATAGACAATACGCGTAATTCAATGAGCCAATTAAAACAATTTAAAGAGCAAGATCAAAAGTATCGATACCATGCCTCAGCTGCATTGCAATACTCAACATTCTTCCCGTCAATAGTTCGCCATCGCCACTAGTCACCGCATGAAGACTAGTTTGATATACGTTGAGATTTAAACGAAAAATAGTGATTGGTCCTTATGTATGTACCTATGTAGTTATTACATTTTGCAATATGCGTAGGAAGTTACATCGTATAAACTACTAAAATGATGATGAATGATAATGAATGCCGTGAAATATTTTTGTAGGCTTTAGAAGTTACCCATTTAAAACACGCGACTGGATCACACTTCTTTTTTTTTTAACAAATTCTAGTTTTTGCCAACTTTTCTTGTATTGTTATTGATACTTTAAGTATTTTTTACTGTGGTATAATGGCATAACACGCTGAATGGGACTATACTAGAAAGTACTACGACCTTCCCTCTGGAATTGTGGGTATCCATATAGGTTGCGGATATCGTCTAATAAGTTCTGCTAACATTTGTCTTCTCTTTTAAATAAAACATATTTTAAAATTATTCTCTCATGAACTGTTGTCACGTTTAAAATTGATAAAATGTTATAAAAATTAAATATAGTGAGCCGTGATACCTCAGTTTCCGGGCGCTCATCTTTAATTCAATTTACTCAAGCAACCTGAGTTCGATCCCCGGTGCCGGCACTAATGAAATTGTTAAGTGCTGACAAATCACGTGCTCAGCGGAGAAGTAAAAAATCGTGAGGAAAACCTGCATATTTTTAAATAATAAAGAAAAAAAATAATTCGAAAATATGTGAAGTCCGCCAATCCGCAGTGGTGTGGCGTGGTGGACTGTGCCGTGATATCCTCTTTACAGATTAGGCCTTTGCTCAGCAGTGGGACATTTATAGGGTGTTACCGTTACGGAGCAATGTTTAGAACATTGCTCTATAAACAGAAGAGCAATAAAAAAGAATAAATAAAGAGAACAAGTAAATATATTATAATAAATTACAAAAGTTTTGACCTGCCACTCAATTTTATTCCATTAAAGAGCGTGTTCTTTGACCAGTGCAGACGAAAATTACTTCCATGGGTTATTCAATGGACGTTAATGAAAAATACAACCAATAAATGAGTACTGCACTAGAAAACTTATTTCTCCGATGATTAGACGTTGCTTAATCGAGTTTTTCTTTCGTGAACGGGCTTTTTCCTTAATATAAATAAAATAAGGTCCGGTATCCACCTAGCCTACGTACAGGCATAAGAGACGTGTAATAGGTAATTAGTTTTTTTAGAATTCTCAATTATCTTTTTTCCACGGTTCTTACTCACTAAAGCTCTAAAGAAGTTTGACGTTTTAATCTGTTCAACAAAAGTGAAACGTTTATTAAAACGTAGCGCTAAGAAGCATTGTGTAAGTGCCATTCTTCACGTAGGCTTTTATGTATTTTATCTCTATATGTGCTGTCGTTAAATCTTAAATCATTTTAAGTAACTAGAATTTAATCGACTTATACTACACTGTCATTATTACGTACATTATAAAGAATTCCCCAAACATATACACAATTTTATAGGTTCACATTGATTTTGTTTACAATGAGTATTTTATAAACTCATGTTTAAAAAACAGTAATATCCCTGTTTATTTTAGACAAACATTTTTACAGATTTTTGCAACAGTAATATATTTACTATATATTACACTTAATATAAGATTTGCGCTTTTTTTTAAATCTATATTCAGTTACATGAATAAAGGTTTGCAATTTTCTGAATTCATAAATAAACATTGTATCATAAGATGCGAACGCACTTGAATTCAAAATTATTTTTAGCTCCAACGATACGCAACTTTGGCATGTAGTTTTAATTCGCATCACAACGAAAAGTGAAATATTTTTATATTCTACGTTAAGCAAAGTTCGAAAACCCTTTTTGCTCCCCTTACGTCGGAAAACATTTTTGAAAACTATTTTTACAGACTAGAAATTAGTTCATAGAGTGTTTCATGTTTACCCGACCTACTTCAAAAATGTCGTGTTGTAAAATGTCATACATAACGTATTATTCACTATGCCATAATTCGTTCTCCATCTAAGTTCCAGATTTTTTATATAAGTAAGAAATGGACTATTAAAGTTCACTCAAATGAACCTTTGAAAATGGGTCAAATTATCTTAGTAATGTTCAATTGTAACAAACCGACTTAGTAATGAATTAACT